GGCTGTATTAGTGGGCACGCAAGGTAACTAGGAGGCCAGAGGGTCCAGGGCCAGTAACTGGATACACTTGGTGTCTAAGGCCTGTTGCTGGGGGATCCATAGCGTGCTGGGGTGGGTGGGGATGTGTGAGTGTGTCCAGGATTAACAGGGGATCTGTACCCGCAGCTGGAGGGGAGCTGCAGACCTCAGACTTATATGTCCTGGTGCCAGCAAGTGGGGAGACTGGGGCTCCAGGTGCCAGCTACTGGGTAGACTGAGTGTCTAAGGCAAGATACAGGGGGGATCTATGTTGAGTACATGTGTATATTTCCAACTACAGAGTCCTTCCTCCTGATCGGCCGGAGAAGGATGAGGCTGTTGGTGCCATTTGTGTTTGAGTGCTGAGTGTTCTATCAGCGTGTTGCCCGCTGCATGAAGGTGTTGTGTCTGTGTGTGTGCCTCTTGAGAACACACCCTCAGCCTCACTGCTGCTTCTAAATCACAGGTTAAAAGCAGGGAGCTGCAGGAACCTCACCTCCACTAGATCTGGCAGCTCCTAACAATCTTTAGTTTTCCAAGTGATTGGCTCTAGGGCCTGTGTTTTGCTTTGTTGTTTTGTTTTTTCCCCTGGGAAGGAAGAATTGTACACTCTTTTTGTGTGTAGAAATTTGCTGCAACTATGTTGTTATGGCTGTGAATGTCAGAACTACTGTCCATGCATAACAAGTGTAAGATTTTTAGAATCCTTTGAATTTGAATGGCTTTCTAGGAAGTGTTTTGCATTTGTGTTATTAATTACTTTTAGTAATTAGCTATGGGATGTAATAATAATTAGCTATGTAATTAGTAATTAGCCATGATAGTTGGTATTGGTTCCTATTTGCTTTCCTTCCCAATTGCAGCAACATACTCTGCTGAATTTATATAAATAAATATGTATTAATAATGCCGATGGAAGAGAGATTAAGTCAATGTCTAGATCCTAGGTATATTTGCAAAGACTATGTGTATAGGATTATGTGGGGTTTTTTAAATCAAAATATTAAGGGAACCCCAGAAAACATGAGTCACCCTTTCAGGATAAATGACTCCTTTTACCATTAACCTCACTGTAAAAATAAAATAAAATAATAAAAAAGTTAATCAGTGAAGAGTAGAGCAAATAATTTATTAATATACTTAGTATTTTATTATGGTTCCCCCTCCCCATAGAACTCTGAACATCTTTTGAAATGCCCAAAAAACACATTAAAACTTTTCCTGAGAGTTTGAGTTACAAATGTAATATCCCACCTTTCCCAAAACATGAGGTCTTTTGATCCATGAACGTGATGCAGGATCTAACCTTGCTTGTTCTTTGCTTATGTCACGTGTAGCGCATCAAACAGCAACAGTCAACATTTGGCTGGTAACCCAATCCCAGAAGCTCATTTTTTTCCTGGAGAAACCTCAAATTAGATTGTGGGGGTTTTTTTCTAACGGCAGTAGCAGCCCACTTTCAGTTACCACATGCTTTGGGAATTAAAGTGAAACCTGTAGTCCAATTCTACTGTTTATATAGTAAACCCATATCTGGAGGATGTTAGTTACACACAGCTCTCTCCAGATGCATCAGTCTTTCTGAACGGAATATACAGAGTGAATTAATCTGTGAGGCATT